CGCCGAGCCGGGACAAGCCTGCTCAGCTCCGGCCGCGGCGCCTCCGCGAAGCCCCTCCCCAGGTCCCGCCCGACAGCCCGCGCGCAGCCGCGCCCTTGTTGCTCCCAATCCGCCGGGTGGCTGGGCGCGGGTCCGACCAAGAGCTGCCGCACGCTAGCCCTCACGCAAAAGAAGCATCCATCAACGCCCCCTCTCTTTTTCTGAACCTCACTCTGGGCCCACTACGCCAAAAATATATATCAAAAAAAAAAAAAAATCCTAACCTCCAAAGAAAGAATTGAAATGCGGAAGCAGGATTTTACGGGCCTTTCGAGATCCGGTAATCATAATTCTCCCTTTTCACCCCTCTAGGATCTGTGTCTTGGTTGGTTGGTTGGTTGGTTGGTTGGTTTGGTTGGTTGGTTTGGTTGGTTGGTTGGTTGGTTTATGATACAAAAATAAAAGAGAAATGCTTAGTGAAGTGACCAGTCCTTTCCCGCTCCCCCATCCCAGAGTCAAGGGTTCAAGAACAGAGAGCAGGCCCTCTGGAAATTTTCCAAGAGCATCTCTAGGGCCCCAAAACCCGTCATTGTGAATGAAGTTCACCCACCTCTGCACTGATGATTCTCCATCAAGTTACTCAGTCCCACCCCGAGACTAGTTTCCTCCTTCCTGGAGACTAAAAATCAACAGAATGGCTCATCTCAAACCACGTAATCATAGAACCATAGAATGTTAGAGATGGAAGAACCTCAGAGATCTTTGATTCAAAGTCTTAATTTTAACGCTAGGACAGGAATTCAAAGAATTGTGAGCTGACGAAGGTTATACAGCAAAACGTCGGTCTACACTCCCTCTTGCCTTCCTCTTTTCCCTAGGAAAGGACTGACCTTATAAGTACCTATCATTCTGAGGGGGTTTTTTGTTTGTTTGTTTGTTTGTTTGTTTTTAATACTCGTTTCCTTTGTTTCTTTTTGTCTGGAATTAATGTTTAACCGCTTGGGAACAGAACACCTTTCTCTAGGGAATCGAAGTGTCCTTTCTTTGTTCCCTTTATAATCGTCACAGGGTGGATTGCATTTACCACATCTGTGTTTGTCCCCCGACATTTTTTATTGCAGTAACTGGGGCAGGGCAAAGGGAAGGGCAAAATTGCTGCATACAATACTACACTTTTCTTTCCTGCTGCTTTTTAAACTAGGAGAAGAGTATTTTGGACTCTGCTTTTAAAAGAGAAAAGGTTAGTATTCCCTGAGGCCGTCGGAAATAACATTTTTGAATGACAGTTTTTTTCGTCAAGTAAGGAAGGATAACCAGTTGAAAAGACTTCCAAAATAGAAAAACAAAACAGTGACTGTCTTTCAGAGAGATAATGGCGTATTAAGCATTCTTTTTTACTTAGTATTTAGTTACTTTTTATTTAAAAAAAAAACAATAGTTAAAAGAACCAAAAAAGGATAAAATCATTACTTAAAGGAGAAAGTTACAATAATAGAAAAAATTTATCAGAGAAATAGGCAAAATGTTTCACTAGAACTTCAAATTTTCAGAATTTCTCTAGGCTATCTAATAAGAAACTTCCATTCTCCATATCTGTGAGATTGGTACATCTATGAAGAGGCGGAAAAGAGGAACAAGGATTTTTTTCTCCTTTCTGTCCAGCTACATAATTTGAGGGGCCCAGTGAAAAATGAAACAGCAAGGGCTCCTTGTTCAAAAGGGAGTTAAACCAAGCCCGGGGCCCTTCTAAAGCACCAGGCCCTGTGCAACTACAGAGGTTGCATATCCATGAAGCAGGCCCTGGTAATCTGTATTTGTTGAATGAAGGAATGAATGAAAAGTGAGATTTGAAAGATGCATAGGAATTAGCCCAAACAGAGAGAAAACACATTTTAGGCAGAAGAAAAGGTACATGTGAAAACCATGTAGAAAAAAAGGCAATACTGGGTAGAAGTTTTGAGGAACTGAAAGTTTAGTCATAGTAAGAGAATAAATGGAAGCAGATGAGAATGGAGGGAGAGGCAAAGGCCAGACTGGAATTTGAGACTTTATTCTAAAAGCAAAGGAAGCTACGGAAAGGTTTAAGAAGGGCAAAACGTAATCAAAGCAGCCATTGGCTTTGGAGGTGGGAACCATGGATGGGAACCGTTTATTTTTGTCTTTCCATTTTTCTGTATTTTTCAAATTTTCCTTCCTATCTCATTCATAGTAAAAGCTAAAGTTTACAATGAACTAAAATGGCCCCAAGACCCCATAGAGAACTGGCTCACAAGTAACTCATCTACTTTTTGCCCTCCTACTCCAGCCACACTGTTCCTCAAAGACATCAGTCTCTCCTTCCTCAGGTACCTGGAACTCCCTCTGCCCGTAACCCTCCCCAAGTATTCACTCACCTGCTTTTCAGATCTTTACCCAAATGGCACTTTTTCAGTGAAGCCTTCCTCAGCAATACCCACCTATGCATATGTACAAACTCCTTCTTTCTCTCCCTACATTACTTTTCTCCTTAGTGCTTACAACTATCTCAGATACTCTGTCTGGTGTATCTTTTTTCTCCCCCTCACCAGAAGGCAAGCTCCCTGAGGGCAGAATTTTTGTCAGTTTTGTGGGCTTCTCTATCCTCAGAGTGCTAGAACAGGGCCTGGTGTATAAAAGGAACTAAATAAACACTTGTAAAACAAAGAATGCATTTTCTATGTAAGTGGTATGAAGCCCTCCACAAACTCAGACTGCAAATACAGTCACAATTATTTGAGATCACACAGACATAGGTTCAAGACATCTCTCGCTCTTAGATCTTTCCTGCATCTCCCTGAAAAGAATTACTCCATCCAAAGGAGGCCAGTCCTCCTTGCATTTACCTTGTGTTCTTTGCTGCCATTATTCCTTACTGTACCACATATAGGTATCAATATAAACAGATGGCCCCCACCGCCTTAACGCTTCTGTACAAAACGTTGCAGTTTCAGGAAAAACCTTGGGATGTTGTCACAGAATCTGAGTCATCAGCCCACCCTCACCTTCCCCAAGGCAGTTCTTTTTTCTCTCTGTCTTTCCAGACCCTAGATATCCTTTCCTGTCATCAGGCCTTGGCTGAGGGCTTTCTAAATCCATTGCCATCAAGTCCATTTCAACTCATAGCGACCATATAGGACAGAATAGAACTGCCCCCATAAGGTTTCCAAGGAGCGGCTGGTGGATTTGAACTGCCAACCTTTTGGTTAGCAGCCATAGCTCTTAACCACTGCGCCACCAGGGCTCCTGAGACCTTTCTGGTCAAGAAAAAAAAATTCCTCCTCAGACCACTAACATACCACATCCTCTAGTATCTTCCAGAATTAAAAAAAAAAAAAAAACCTCCCTAACTTTAAACCTCAAGGAGGAGAGTTTCACCAGGGAGTTTTGTCTCCTCCCTCCCAGGAGGCTCTGGCTTCTTTATGGAAATGATTTTAGAAATCAGCCTTGTTTGCCTGGGCCTCAGGAATGAGCAGCTCGAATGAAAAAATTTCAAGAGTGTCCCAATTTTGCCTAAATTTGTATAACTAAAAAGCCCACTCAAGTAGCCCCTTGAAGCTCAAAGGTCTATTTCTCTTCCTTAAAAAAAAGAAACAACTCTGTTCCTACTATTTCAATACAGATGAAAATAATCTCATCTTATTCTGGAAGTTAGTTTCTCTAGTCAGAATAAAGCAAAAATCTCATATAGTAAAATTAATCCTTGAAAATTACTTAAATTGCCCATAAAGTACAGTACACACTGTTTCCTATATATAACCTTGTAAAATAACATGTATGTACTGATACAGTACTTTTATTGTGAAGGAGTCCTGGTAACAGCAGTGGTTAAAGCAATCGACTGCTAACCGAAAGGGCAGCGGTTGGCAACCACCAGCAGCTCTGCAGGAGAAACATGAAGCAGGAAGAAAGATGTGGTAGTCTGCTTCCATAGAGATTTACAGCCTTGGAAACCCTATGGGGTCGGTATGAGTCGGAATTGACTCGACCGCAGTGGGTTTGTTGGGTTACTTTTGTTGTTGTTGCCAGGTGCCCTCAATAGTCATAAATTAATTTTTTTATGTATTTCACCTCTTGGAACACTTCAGAAATTTTATGAAGATTATAACTTGTTGGCTTTTCCAGTTCATCATTATCTTCTGCAGATTGTTGCTGTTGTTGTTGGGTGCTGTCAAGTTGATTTTCGACTTACAGCAATCCCGAGTGATGAGTAGAACTGTCGCATAGGGGTTTCCAGGCTGTAATCTTTACAGAAGCAGATCGCCAGGTCTTTTACCCCAGGAGTGGCTGGGTGGTTTTAAACTGCCGACCTTTCAGTTAATAGTCTAGTGTTTAACCTTTGTACCACCAGAGCTCGTTTTCTTAAGATAAGTCTAGTAATTGGCCCTCAGTGAGATGGATTGACACAGTGGCTGCAACAATGGGTTTAAGCATAACGATTGTGAGGATGGCCCAGGACCGGGCAGTGTTTCATTCTGCAGTACATAGGGTCACTATGAGTCAGAAGCAACTTGATGGCACCTAAGAACAATAACAAGAAGTGTAGTAATTACTCTCTTTGTCAACATTTTTCTAAAGCCTTTCGTTAATTTTTCAATTTCTTCCTTAATGTTAGGGAAGACACTAACACACTTACTCATCTGACAACCATTTGATTGATTCCATTGCCCGTGGGCATCAGTGCATTGAGTGGAATGGCCTGCCAGTGCCCACACTGTTTACATTGTTTTCTCCAGAGCTTCTGTAGTTGAAGTCTCAAAAGCTAAATGTACTTATGAAGCAATATAATGGACTAGTATGATTTTTAGATCTGATTTA